TCAGCAGCGGCGCCGACCAGGCCTCGCCCGGCGCCCGAGGCCTCGCCGCGCCCCGAACTTCGCCTGAGCTGGGCAGCTGGCTGCGGTCTACGATTTCAAAGTCTTCTCCGGGCTCTGGCCCTGACTCGGGCCCTAACTCGGGCTCTCGCTCTGGCACCCGCTCTGCAGGGCAGTCGCCTTCCTGGTCGGCCATTTTGGCCGAGTCAGGTGACCGGGCCGGGAAAGAGGGCGGGGGGGGGGGAAGGGAGGAGGATGCGGACTTGGTGCGGGCGGGCGCAGACTCGGTGCGGGCGGGCGCAGCCCTGGACTCTAGGTGGGCGGGCTAGGACTCAGCCCTGTCATTTGTTTGCCAGGTTCATCTTTCTCACCGCCCTCTGGGCCTTTCGTTCATTGAAATAAGGCTTGGGAAAGTACACTTTGTAATGTCAAAAAACACTCATCTTCCCACCAGCTGAGAGATGTCTTTCTCTCCCTTCCCCCCCCTCTTCCTTCTCCAGAACCCTCCTTTCCCTCTTCCTTCTCTCCTCCCCTCTCCCTTTCATCTCTCCCCTCTCTCTCTCCCTGTGCTGCTTAGGCTGGTCTTGAACTTCTCATCTGATCACCTGGCCTCAGCCTCTTGAGTGCTGAGATTACAGGCACATGTCACCAAGCCTGGCAGCTCAGCTCTAATGTTCTATATTCTGAACTCTCTCTGTGTGTACTTATCTCCCAAGAGTTTTTAGAACTAAGTGAAATTTCTGGGCCAAAGTGTGCTAGCCTTGAAAACAACACAACAGTTAACTCTCGAACAAATGCAGCAATGATACTCGCTGAACACTATGTTGAAAATATACTTTGCAACTTGTAGGCGAGGATGGGAGGGAAAAACTGGGAGAAAGAGAGGGAAGGGGTGACATTGTCCAAACAGAAATGGAGGGCTGGGAATGTGGCTTAGTGGTAGAATGCTTCCCTAGCGTGCATGAAGCCCTGAGTTTGATTCCTCAGTACCACATAAACAGAAGAAGCCGGAAGTGGTGCTGTGGCTCAAAGTAGTAGAGTGATAACCTTGAACAAAAGCAGCTCAGGGACAGTGCCCACGCCCTGAGTTCAAGCCCCAGGACTGACCAAAACCATGTACTCTTTACCTGACTTATATACCCTCTGTACACCACCTTTATGATAACAATAAAACAATAAAACGAAGACCTCTTGCTTTGCAGAATGTTGCCAGAATGCTAAGCAGACAGTCACTCCTGTTTTCCCAGCAATAGACAATCCAAAAATCATCCCTTCCCCTCTCACCGACCCAAATTCCCAGTCCAGAGCTCTACTCGGCTCTCTGCAGATCCCAGTGAAAGACATAAATGCTTTTAGGTTCATGCCAATAGAGGCCACTGTTGCCAATATAAGTGTTTGGCTGCCACCTAGTGGTACAAAATGGATTTACACTACCCAGGATTTGATGGTTTTCATCCTCTTCCATCCATTTATCCTCAATCATCTTTTAACCCGATCTTTCATCCATCTGGCTGTCCTGGTCTGTAAAGCCCTATGTGACTTGGGCCCTATGTCTATCTTTCTGAGCCCCATTTCATATCATACAGTCTATGGGTTTGTTAAGCCCACACCATTTCTTTTCTGTTCTGAAACACATCAAGATTTTTTTTTCCTCCTCTGCTTACGATGTTTTTTTTTTTTTTTCCAGTTATGGTATGACAGGCTTTTTTTTTTATCATCATAAATATTCAAGTTCCACTCAACTTTTCAAAGACATCTCCCCCGGATTGTGTTAAAATATGCAGCCTCCGGCCTCCAGCCTCTTTTTGTCATTCTGCTCAGTTCCATTTCATTCAAAGTACTTATGCCACCTGAAGAGTTCCCTGTTGGAGTTTCCCCTAGGCTTGTCTCTTCCTCCCATCAGGACGGAGCTCTGAGGACAGCTTGTGTCTCATGGTCCCTGCTGTGGGACGAATGATGTCGAATGTCTGTGCCTTTGGCTTAGCTTAGCAGGATTGCACCATGGTCTGAGGTCATGATTGGTTACACCTCTAGCCTGTCCCCCTGGTCTCTAAAACCGCAAAGTGTCTTTTCACCCCTTGAACCTAAAGTAGAGGGGGTGATCACTGGTCCTTTAATCATTTCTTCCCAATATGGCCACATGGATAAAAACTCTTCGCCACTCCTTGCTCATTAAATTTCTGGGGTGTTTGTTCTGAAACTCTCACAACTCATCTGTGCACATTTCATTGGCCAGAGAGGACACAAGGCCACATCTGCACCCCCTTTCTTCTCCTCTGCTTGAGGGCCAGGCTGTTAGCATCTTCTTCCTTTTTTGCCAGTCCTAGGGTTTGAACTCAGGGCCTGGGTGCTATCCCTGAGCCTCTTTGTGCTCAAGGCTAGCACTCTGCCATTTGAGCCACAGTGGCACTTCCAGCTTTTTCTGAATAGTTTATTGGAGATAAGAGTTTCATGGACTTTTCTGTCAGGGGCTGGCTTCAAACTATGTTCCTCAAACTTCAGCCTCCTGAGTAGCTAGGATTACAGGTTTGAGCCACCAGTGCCTGACTTAGCATCCTGTTTCTTCTATGACAGTCCCTTGACTAGGGCTTGTCTTTGTGGTCACAGTAGAAAAACAAAAGTAATTTTCAATGTCCATGAGGAGTTCCATTGGTGCTTCTCAGACAGAAAGTTTCTTTCTTCTTTTTTGAGACAGGAGCTCTATAGTCCAGGCCAGCCTAACACTCAACAGCCTCCTGCCCCACCTCCTGGTAAGGACTTTTTCTTTTCTTCTTTTCAACCTCTGATTTAGTCAGTATTGCAATACTGTGACAAAGGATCTGAGGCAATCAATAGAGGAAAAGGTTTACTTTGACTCAGGGTCACTTGGGTCTGTTGCTTTGGGCCTGTGGTGGGGCAGCACATCATGGTGAGAGAGCATGGTGGAGAGACTTGCTCACCTCATGGCAGCCAGGAAGCAGACAGAAAGTGGGCGGGACAGGGAGGCCCACCCCCCATGACCTCACTTCCTGCAGCTATTTCAAAGTATATGATTGTTTTCTTATTAATGTGACAAATTATACGAAATAGGTTTTCTGAAGTTGAAAATTCTTACATCCCTAAGCTGCATTTTACATGACTATGTTAATTTATAAGACAGGATAGTCTACCTTAAAAAATTGTACCATGCTTATCATCATGATTAATGTGCAGATTATGATGGCTTTTCTCTCTCTATCTCTCTCTCTTTTTTTTTGTTGGTTGTGGGGCTTGAACTCAGGGCCTGAATGCTGTCCCTAAGCCTCTGTGCTCAAGGCTACTGTTCTACCACCTGAGCCACTGTGCCACTTTTGGTTTTTGAGTGGTTAATTGGAGAGAAGAGTCTCATGGGGGCCTTTTACCTGGGCCTGGCTTTGAATCACAATCCTCAGATCTCAGCCTCCTGAGTAGCTAAGATTCTAGGCGTGAGCCACCGGTGCCCTGCTGCTGCTTTTCTCTTATTTTTTAATAATGTGACATTTCAAGAAGACTAGGAACATTGAAGAAATTAAAATTCTAGATAAATGTATGTGGTATATTAAATATACATTGATTCTGTTATATTTTCTATCTATCATCATAAAACCGTATGGTTTTCTTCCTCTCTTCTCCTCTCCATCTGTCTCTGTAAGATCTTGGTATGTAACCCAGACTGGACTGGGACTCATGATTATCCTACCTCTGCCTCCCAAGGCTGGGATGCCAGGCATAAACCGCCATACTCGGCATGGAATTCTGTTGCTTGCTCATATGAAGGCCGGCTGCAGGTCTGGGCTCCTTTCCCGTACATCTGTCTTTCATGGAGTGACTCAGCAGCCAGCTGCTTTGGGTTTTTGCTCTTCTCTATCTCTTCAAATAGCTGCAGAAGGAGAGAGAACATCTGGAGAGCGCTGAGCCAGGGTTGCTGGGAAGTGACCTGCAGACACAGGAGATGGAGAGAGATGGAGCCAGCCAAGGGGACAGCAGGAACTGAGGGAGGGGGAGGAGAGGCGTGGTCAAGGTAGAGCGGAGAGGTGGTGATTGATGCCTCCCCCCTGAGTGTTGCAGGTGGAAGTGGGCAGGGCCTGGGAAGAGCTTTCACCAGAGCCAAGAGCAAGACCAAACCACAGCCTCTTTGTGTGTGTGTGTGTGTGTGTGCCAGTATGGGGACTTGAACTCAGGACCTGAGTACTGTCCCTGAGCTTTTACACTCAGAGCTGGCTACAGCTTGAGCCACAGCTCCACTTCTAACTTTTTTGGTGGCTAACTGGAGACAAGAGTTACACAGACTTTCCTGCCGAGGCTGGCTTTGAACCTCCATCCTCAGATCTCAGCCTCCTGATTAGCTCCGATTACAGGTGGAAGCCACTGGTGCCAGCTTCTACACACTTTTGATGATAGAATAAAAGTACTGTTTTATAACCTAGGCAATTTTTAATGATATTTTAGTGTTTCAAACAGTCAATGCCACAAATCACTAACATCCAATGTTATTTATTTTTTTTCTGTCAGTCATGGGCGCTGTCCCTGAGCTCTTCATCATAAGGCCAGCACTCTACCACTTGAGCCACAGTGCCACTTCTGGTTTTCTGGTAGTTAATTGGAGATAAGAGTCTCACAGACTTTCCTGCCCCAGCTGACTTTGAACCATGGTCCTCATATCCTCCTGAGAAGCTAGGATTACAGGCATGAACTACTGGCACTCGGCTCAATGTTAATTTTTGTAAATACAAGATTGCTAAGAGGGGGCTGGGAAGGTGGCTCAATGGTAAAGTGCTTGCCTTGCATGCATGAGGCCCTGGGTTTGATTCCTCAGCACCACATAAGCAGAAAAAAATGGAAGTGGCGCTGTGGCTCAAGTGGTAGAGCGCTAGCCTTGAGCTGAAGAGCTAAGGGACAGCGCCAGGCCCAGAGTTCAGGCCCATGACTGGACCCCCCTCCCCCCCAAAAAAAAAAGATTGCTAAGAGCTGGGTGCCAGTGGCTCACTCCTGTAATCCTAGCTATTCAGGAGGCTGAGATCTGAGGATCACAGTTCAAAGCCAGCCTGGGCAGGAAAGTCCCTGAGACTCTCATCTCCAACAAACCACTAGAAAACCAGAAATGGCTCTGTGGCTCAAGGAGTAGAGCGATCTGCTGAGCAGAAGAGCTGAGGGACCGTGCCCAGGCCCAGAGTTCAAGCACCACAACCAAAAAACAAACAAACAAAC